ACCCCGTACAATGTTTAATATGGTCAGCTGATGAGCTGGAAATAGGAACTGACTCAGCTCCAAAAAAGTTTCTTAGAAAGTCTGTGGCTGGTTTATTTTTTTTCCCTAAAAGGACTGCTGGTTGAACAGTCAATCATGATTAAAAAGGTTAAATGATAACCTCAACAAACGTTAGTGTAATTCAAGAAAAAAATTTGTGCAAATTACATATTTGAAATGTGCATGCTGAGGCAGCCTTCTTAGTGCATGGTGAATATTCAGAGTGCAGATGGGGCATTTTCTGAAAAGCACTAACAAATTAATTGAACCTTACGTCAAGGCAAGGGATTTATTGCTTTTATCATCCCTTCCCTCTTGCATTTATAGTGTGCAGAAAGTAGCAACTGTAACTACTCTAAGAACAGTTGTGATGTCTTATGATACAAAATACTTTGTTATTACATATAAATAGGAACCAGGTAGCAGAGAACCATGATAAACCCTATTATTTATGCTCCCCCTGTACTATGACTAAATTTGATATGATACATAGGATCCATAAAATCATTAGCAATGATCCCATTTCCAGATTTTAAATAAGATATATTAGATTAAAAGTATTAATAAATAATTTGAGAATGCAAATGTTAGAAAACTGAAACAAAGATGTTTCAATTTAAGAGGAAATAAGAAAAGCCTACCAAGTAAAATGTGTAGGAGCAGAGCATAAAAACCTCCTACAAGTGTGTGTGGTTAAGACAGCTATGCTTGTTCTAGAACTTTTCCTGTCAACAGCAGAATGCTTGTAAACATTTTATGTTGTCTACCAGCTTAAAATTTAGAGGAAAAAGCAAAATTAATATTTGTTACGGCATTCATTAAAATGTTTCCAGAAACTGGCAATGTTGTACTTGGATCTTTTATCTGATTGTAATCTACAAATCCACTGTTAGCTAAAACTAAGTCTATTAACTTGACTATGCAAATGTGTGTTTGCAGACAAATTCTAATATTTTCAAGTGAAGTCAGTATTACATTCTCACTAGAATTATGCCAGAGAGCAGTTATACTGAATGAGAGTTATCATCACACTAAGTTTGTAAAGAAGAGTCATCTTTTTATCAACCCTAAAGCCAAACCTTTAGAAGAACACATTCTCAGATTGTTTTTGGTAAATACAGGGCATCTAAGTTCCTTATTTTTTTTTAATTGAATTAAGAGACTAATGTTTTTGCATCCTTACCTTTTCACTGAAACACTCAAGCAAGTCTTGGACATACCCTCGCATTTCTTGCAAAAATTTATACCGTTCACCAATACCCCCAGAAGACCCTTCTAATCTTTCAATTGCCTTGGCAGAGTCCTCTCGGCTTTGCTGATGTTTCTCGTATTGCTGCCGATTTGCTCTGTGCAAGTCTTTCATGGAGTCCAACCTAAGGGACAATGGATAAATAATAAGTTTACATCCGAAAGTCCATAGACATGCAGACTGTTGAGATATTAAATTGTTTCAAAGCAAGATAGTACAAGTACCAAATCTGTATACAGAAACTATTTTAAAGATACATTCACTACTAATGGTTGCTTGTCACTTCTTCTCCCTTCTCCTTTTCTTACGAGCAATGTTAGTAATTTAAGTTAAACTAGACTTTGCAAGGTGCTGTGCACTGTTGACTCCTGTTTGAAGTCAACAGAAAATGAAGGCGTGTAAAACCTTACAAAACACAGCCATAAGAATATAAACTAGAAGCTTTGTGATAGATCTAGAAAGAAACACAGACTATAAAAGCAGCTTTCATTAGACTGAGCTAACTGGACTCACCTCCACTAGCAAAGTTTGTAAGACTACAAGGGGCATACAAACCAGGTTTGAAGACACTACAGTGTAAGTTGGTCACTCTAAAGAATTTCTCATTGCAATTGGATTGTTCAGTCAGTAGAATCTTTTTGGATACCTGACAAGCAGATTACAATGTTTAAAACTTCAAAAAAGGTTTTTGGCCTGAAATCTAAGATAGTTAACTATTCAAGAGAAGATCTGATTTCCTTTTTATAAGAATGTTAGTTGGAAAGCTAAACATCTCAACTGTCCTTTCAATTCTTGACTACAAGACTCTCAGTGTCCAGAAGATGCAACTCAGACCTGTCTTCAACAAGATCAAATGGCCACATTTTTAAAGCTTCACTTCCAGAGAAGTAATCCGAGGCGGCTTTCGATCAGAGTTTCAATGCCATCTTCCTTCTGTTTGTTTTTTATTTTTAAAAAAGGATGAGCCAGTCAGTAGTTTTCCAGCGACGAATTTCTGAATTTGCTCACCGAGACTAAAGATGCCTGAGGGAACAGAAAGCTAGGGGACAGGTCTTTTAATTCTAAAAAAGATGGTCTGCCCTACCTGTCTTTAAGCTGTTTCTTTACCAAATCAATAGTAACAGGAGTCATCTCATTACTGGGAGTTTTGAAAGGAACTGTATTATCTGTTTTTTGAGACTTGGTCTCCGATGATCCATAAGCAGCATAAGTGTAAGGAATGCCATACGATGAACCATAAGACAATGTCTGGTAAGTGTTCTGGTAGTACAGATTATTCACTTCAGTAGGCTGACTTGCTTGAACCTACAGAAATGAGACATGTAATATACACAATGCTAAAGTCATTCCTCCTTTTAAAAACATTGACATTATTCAAAATTAAGCTCTACATATTATAAAGAAAAGTGGAAATTTTATGAGATGGACAAAGCATTCTAACATTGTGAAAGAGTAGAACTTACTGCCAATTGGTTGTAACAACTTCATGTGCCCATTCCTGTTTTTCAATAAGTGAAGCTAAATTGCACTAAGTTAAATGTTTCACTTAGAGACGCTGTCCCAAGCTTAAAACTTCCACTCACTGTAGAACAAATGAGAGAGCTACAACAGATTCAGCTGAACTGCATTATCTCCTGCCTACCCCTCCTTAAAACAGCATAATTGTTCAGCTATCCGTACACAAGTTACTCAAATATCATGATGGTTATAAAACCAAACCACTTTCTATCACCTACTAAGATGAGCAGGAACAGCTATAAGGTAACATTGCTTAACTGAAGAATGTCCTTAAAATGGCCTTGTTATTATTCTCAGTAAAAGTTTGCAGGAAATTACTGAAGGAGTTTTATTTTCAGCTAGTCTCCAATATCCAGGTATTAGATACCCTAAACTGTACTAATTTCAGCTGTTAATAAAGCTCAACACATCATGAAAGTTTTACCACCATTCAAACCAAACCAAAAACACTTCTAGTGCCAATGAGAATCCCAATTCATTGGGCTAACAAAGCATGGTCCCCAAGGGGTCATAACCAGGCTTCAGGTATATCTACCATTTCAGGATGTACAAGTCCAAGCTGTACAAGTCCATCATGTAACCTGGATTTTTATTTAGATTGCTATCCAGGCTGCTGTGTTTGCTGAGTTGTTACATGTGGTAGCTAAATTAAACCCAGAATAGATCAGACTATCATTCTGCACCATGCATTCAACTGTAGCATACTTTAATATTCATAGATAGCGGGCATCTCAGGTGACATGCCTTAATGCTTTACCTTTGTTATAACACCCTTCCAGTGTAGGTTTGCTATCGCTCCCACTGAAGTCAAAGACAAAACACTCACTGACTTTAGTGACAGAAATACAATGTAATGCATGCCTAACAACCTTTACACAGGAAGAATAAAAGCAAGGCTTGCTTCAGAGTTTCATTTCTACTGGCCTCAGTTTGCCAGTAAGCACTGGTCAAGACCAACCCAACAATGATTATCCTTCTATGATGGGTGGAAAAGTGGAGAAAGAGTATTAAAAGTCCCACCTCTCACTTCATGGTGACAGGTCATTTTTATCAATTCAGAGGATAAACTGAACAACAAATTTCTTCAGCTCACACAGTATCATTCAGTATAATACTTGTATAAGTTCGTAAAAAATGTAGTTGATATATGCATCCCTTCTAACTAGTTTGGAAATAATTTAATATCTGAACACATGCCTGAGGTATGTTAATTCCTTTCCGTATCTGTTCTTGCTCCCATCGACTGAGTTCTTCATCCTGTTCCCCCGTTACTAGTGCTTCGTCATCGCTTCCCTCAATACCTGAACACACAGGTAAGATAGACAGGAAACAAAAAGATTCGTACATAGTTCAAGGGTTCACAAACCATGGGGTGTGCATCACCAGTGGCACATAATCTTGATGTTCCATTTGCTCCAACAACAATTTAAGGTGGTTTGTAAACTGTCATAGTAATTTAATTCCAATGGACAATAAATAAGTTAATTGCAAAGTAAATAAGTTTATGGCAAGGGTGTAAAGCTCGTCTAGCCTCACAGGCTGTGTGATTTACATGGGGCCAGTCCTCAGAATAGATTCAGAGCGCAGAGAAGTGTCAGCTTGCCCACAGGCTGGAAAATTTGGCAGCTGCAATGTTAACTGCTGTTGCTCCCGGAGCTGCAGGGGCCACCGGTCCTACTGTCGCCAAAATTTCCAGTCCTGTGGGGAAGCCCTAAGACATGGCTCTGTGGACTGTATCTAGCCTATGAGGCATATCTTTGATACCCCTGGTTTATTGGATCAAGAGACTTAAAGCTATTTTCCAATGCTTAAAGCCTTTACAATAAAATCTTGCTAAACCATGCATTCCTGGGAAATCCATTTCACTAGTCAGCTAGCAAGTAAACCAAAGAATAACATTTCACAAGGTTATTAGATACATTTGTCAAATTAACTTAGTTTATACTTACTAGAATACTAATAATTTGTACCTTCAAGTTCCCAAGACATTACAGTAGAATACCACACTTTTAAAACCTGGCTCAAAGAACAGGGAACGATTACCTATTATTTGCAAGTTAGGACATATTTATTAGTTGGGCCGCTTTGCACTAGAATTTTTTATTAGAATTCAAGATTTATACCAGAGGTCAAACACAATATTCTATACCAAGGTATACCACGGATTATGATAAACTAGAATTTCTATTAGTTATATAAAATGTTTCGTTTAAAGTCTTGTAAAAGCCAAAGTAATCAGCCTGCAACACAAATAGTTTTAAGCATTTATTTACACTACAGTAAAATCGCTGTTATCCAGGATTTTACTAACCGGCATGTCTGGACGCAGGGGACAGGGGGAGAAAGCTCGCACACAGCCACCACCACTCCTCCGAACCCCATGCTCTGTAAAAACCCTGTGCCCTCAGGTAGCCAGCATTTTTACATTACTGGCACCCCCCCATTCCCCACTTGTGCTGAATATTAGGAATTTTACTGTATTATGTTTCTTAAGACACTTTACCTATTTCTTCCGCTATCTTCTGCCTTTGGGATTTTTCCTTCACTGAAAAGACTATTCTCCTTTTTTCATCATCATCCTCATCATCGCTGGCATCATTTTCATCTTCTCGAACAAGGCGGCCTTTACCTGGTTCATTGTCAACTGGCGTAAAGTCCCCAAGTTCACGGGCCATTTGACGCTTTTTCCTAGCAGCATGAATAAAAGCAGCATCTGGAATTTCTCCTGGAAATATACATTTACAAGTTAAGCAGTCATTACAGCCAAAGTCATGTTGCAACTCCTCACTACTTGTCTCCTGACAACATAGGACAGGGAAGAGAGGTAAACTGACTGGCGTACAACAGGGAACAGGGCACTAGACTGGGTTTTCCCTGTTAATAACATTACTTTTCAGACAAAAGCAAAGCATAACTCTATACATAATATACAAGAGTTTCAAGGCATGATGGTATGTTGTAAAACAGGGGCGGGCAAAATATGGCCCATGGGGCAGATCCAGCCTGCCAGACCATTCTATCTGGCTCACAGGGCCCCTAAAAAAATTAGTAAATTAATATTTATTTGCTCCTGCTGCCTGTCAAAGGTGACAGGAGACAGGGGCAGTAGGACCCAGGGGGAGCCCTCATCAGAACTGAACAACCCAGCTCTGCCCCATCCCCAGCCATTTCACTCTCTTTCTGCCCCTGCTCTGCTCCAGCACCACGTGGCTGGCTGCATCACTGGACTGGGGAACACAGAACCAGGCCGGTATGTCGGTGTGTGCACACAGGCAGAGGCTGAGTACATGTGTGTAAGCAGGGACAGAGAGAGAGAGCGCGAGCAAGTGTGTGTAAGCAGGGGCAGTGTGTGTGTAGGCAGGGGCAGAGTACATGTGTGTAGGCAGGGGCAGTGTGCATGTGTTCATGGGGTGAGCCCCAACATACACACACCACCATACACATGCTCCCATAATCCCCCTTGCACTGCTGTACATGCAGACCCCCACACCCCCTCACATACCCCAGCCATCCTCCCCCACAAACTTATATGCACCCCCCCACAATATACAAGAGTAAGACTTCATTTTAAGCTATTGTGCAATCAATCATCGGTATGTACACTACACAAATGCATGTAAATCAGGACAAAAATATTTTTTGAAATCAAATTAATGAATGCTGTAGATGTTTGGGGAGGGACTCTGGGTGGCAAAGGTCAGGGGCTAGAGGGCGGGACTTCTGGTCACAAGATCGCAACCAGGGCACCTGTCAAGGGTCAGGGCTACCTATGCAGCCCTCAACAGCTTGTCAAAACTCGCTAAGGGGCCCTCTGCCAGAAATAACTGCCCACCCCTGTTGTAAAAGGTGACAACTGTACATATTAAACATCTCTAAGCCTTTGGGACAAATTACAAGAAAAACAGTAAACTGCTAGAGAAGAGTGATTATCTTCCAGGAAATTTTTGATTCATACGATATCTATCACCTACCAAAAATATACATAATGCAAGCAAAATAATTTAAGTATTGCACAAATATACATACAGGAAGACCAAAAAGATTACAAAACAAACAAAACCAAGAGATGAAGGATAAAGCAAAAAGGATTAAAACATACAAGCAGAGTAAGCAGGATGAGGATATGACTCATTTATCTGTTTCAGTGTATTTATTCTTATATGTATTTCATTCTTGACTGAGAAATGGGTAATGTGTATGATAGAAGGGAGGTAAAAATAAGAACAGAATGATCAAAAGAGTGAAGAGAAAACACTTGTGGGGAAGAAGGAGCGCAAGACTAATGCTATGGGAAACAACTTGTTTCCCTTCATTCTTAAATCAAACAAGAAATATAGTTTAAGGGATCTGTGAAGTCAGCATTGGAAAGAAAAGTCCAAGTTTATGAATTACAAACTTTGAAAGGGCAAACAAAAAGCTAGTTTTTCTGTACAGATGTGCAACTGAAGCAAGGATAATCACAAAGGTTCCTAACTCTTAAATATATGGCACTACTTATTAGTACCTTCACTCTTTAGTACTCTGAGCTCTACCACAGGGTTGCTCAACCTCCATGCCATGGAGCCATGACATCTGGCCCCCAGGGCTCCCCACAGGTTGGGAAATTTGGTGGCATGGGAGCAGAGGCAAGTAATAGTGCCACTGCACCCCCACTCCTCCTGGCCTGCTGCCAGGCCATGCCCTCTTCTCCACTCATGCAGCTGGATCAGGGCAGAGGCACCCCCCATTCCTTCCAATGCAGCTGAATCAGGCCCCACTTTGCCACCATGCACACTGAGGCTCATCAGGCAAATCCAGGCTACGGACAGACTGAGCATCATCCATCCAGCCTAAGATGGGAAAAGGTTGGGTACCACTGCTCTATCATAGAGGGCAGGGCCACACTAATCACATAACAGGCTGAGAGAGGGAGGAACCTTACAACTGTTCTAAAACCAGATTTTACAATCCAGGTTCCATCATGGTTCAGAGCAACCAAAACTTGGACATTATTTGGACATTATGGGCATTGGTGGTAAAGGTGACATACTACATTTGGTGTTCACCCAAGGATTTTGGTGACCCATTTGGTGATGTCTGCCAGATATTTAAGACCAGGGAACAAACAGGAATCACTGGAAATGGGAAAGAAAGGAAGCTCGGCTGTGGGAAAGAGGAAGTCGAACTGTATTCAGTGTAGCGGCTCACCATAACTTGAAAAAGAATTAGCACTGAGAGAGACCATGTGCAATGGGCACTACTATATATCTTATTTGTCTGAATAAGATGCACTTGGCCTTTTGGCTCAGGTCAAACATATTCCCTGTTCTCACCTGGCAGGTGAAATACCACGATCACCAAGCCAAGATCACCTTAAATGGCATTATGTAGTTAAAGGTGCAGACTTATCCAATGCACTGTAGGCAGGCCCCCTACAAGAGTCTACTACAGCCTCCAAAACAGAGGATTTTGGCTACACACTTTATTTTTATGGAGATGGGGGATTTCTCCCTAGCTTGTTCCTCTACCTTTTTGGCTAGGTGCAAGTGAGACTCGGGGGCATTTGAACTCCAAGGTCTCTGGGCCTGCAATAGGATGCCTGCCATGGATTTGGGAGTATCTGAAGCCACAGGCTGAAGAATCTGGGAGGGAAGATACTTGCCCAGTGGTACCACCACACAGACTTGAATGACTGAGCTGTGCTCAGTCAACAGAATTTGGAACAGGATTTGACCAATTTGGCCTGAGACAGAAAATTAAAATAAACAAACAACCAAATACATAAAAACATCCTTGTGGTAGGTTTCCATCACCACCTTGGCCTTTTGGCTAAGATCAAATGTAGCAGCATTTGTGGCACCAAGGGAAAGGTGTCAGGGCTGGCCTTGGCCCTCCTGATGCTGGCCTGATATTACAGCACCTCCACCCCAATGCCAGTTCCCTGAGGAGGGAACAGTCGCACTTTTTTTTTTAAATGGGTCCCACACACAGGAAAAATAAAAAGTTCTATAGGTATGCTTACCCAATATAAGCCATGTCTTTTATAGTCATGCTCAGTGCTGGCTGCATTTAACCAACTTCATAGTTGGTTTCCATTACTGGGGACATGCTGCTTTCAGCAGCAGTTCAATGACAGACACTTTATTTAAGGAAGTCTCCTTGTATGTGGATGTAAGGGACAGGTCTTTTTTCCCCACGTGCTGATTGGCGGAAATAACCTTGTCTGGTAGTCGAGTAAACATGGTAACAGAATTTTGAGATTACTCTATTATTTCACAGACTTGAAAGGGCCAATACTGCAATCAAGAGGTAAAAGTGTTTTTTTTTTCTTTTTTTAAAAAAGAACAGACCACAGGTTGAGCTATGATTTGATTTGTTCTGAAATACTGCCCAACGTTCTTAACATCTGAAAGAATTCAAACACTTACTCAAAAACTTAATTCATTACTAACTCAATCATTACAGTTTAGCTTTCCTTCAAATTTGTCACTGGTAACTAAATGATAAAATATATTTAAAAACGAAACAATAGTACACAATCCAGTTTTCAACACTTAATTCTGCACCTGCACTGGGAAGGTTAAGGAAGATATTCCCCTGCCCAGGTACCAGTTTTTCCATTATAAGTATTACACAAAACATTTCCAAACCCACTAAACTATACAAGGAAGCACAAACCTGGACGAAGAACATTCAGAGATGACAGAGCACTTGAAAAAGCTCCCCCAGCTTTAGGTTTTTCTTCCTCCTTTTCACTTTCAACTTCCATCTCTTCTTCTCCTTGTTCACTGTTTGTAGTGCCATCTTCTTGACTTGCATCCTTAATCTGCCCAGTTTTCTCTATAGGTGGTTCAGCTGCAAGATACAACAACACTATTTCACTTTTTTGTGCAAGTTATTTTAAAAGAACACACTTACAGAAGAGTAGCAGATATGCATTTCTTTTACTCAAGTGAGCTATCCAAAAATATATGTTTAGTAGTTTCCAATTTTTAACCTTTGAGCTTAGAAAAAACGCTGCATCTTATTTCATGGCTTCAACAAAAACATTACAATCTTCACACTTAAGTTATACAGTCTGACTGCTCAAATATAAAGACAACCACAGCAAAAATATTTGTCAAGTCCATTACTGAGAAATTAAGAAATGCCACAATTAAGGTACAGCCTTCAGGAGCCCCTAATGCATGTTTAATTATGAGATCACATACTTATTTCTGCATAGGACCCAGTCACTTTGAGGCGCATGATATTTTGCTAAGTGCACAGCTATCCAACATTTTATTTTACCTTTATTATTCAGTTTGTAATCCCATGACTTGTTTACTGTAGATTTATTAATTTTACTACTTACATAAATTAATTTCAAATGGGACTTTTTAACAATTATTTTAATCCCTGTAGATCCTCTACGTACAATCGATTTTTACGACAGCCCTGCAAGGAAAGACATACTGACACATGGTTATGGTTGGGTAAGAAGTTGGAAACCCACAAGATAAGGAAACACACCTTGTGCCTATCTGCAAAAAGTCTGCTTTAGGGGACATACACAGCATCACACAGCAATTCTATGCCAGAGGAAAAGAAAACCCTGCTGATTCATTCAGCCAAAAAAAACTATTCTCTTTTTTCCTGCAGCACTTTGCCTTTGTGTATGGGCAACTTGAAGTCTGGCATCTCCCATAATTTAAGCATTTGATATGTTCATAGATTCATAGATGTAGGGTCAGAAGGGACCTAAGTAGATCATCAAGTCCGACCCCCTGAACTGAGCAGGAGAGAATACTGGGCTCATATGACCCCAGCTAGGTAATTATCAAGCCTCCTCTTAAAGACCCCCAAGGTAGGAGCCAGTACTACTTCCCTTGGAAGTTCATTCCAGCTCCTAGCTGCCCTGACTGGGAAGTAGTGCCTCTAATGTTCAGCCTGAACCTACTCTCAAACAACTTATGGCCACTATTTCTTGTTATTCTGGGAGGTGCTCGGGGAGGGAACAGGGTCTCTCCCATTCCCCACTGGTCCCCCCCGGTAAGTTTACAGATAGCCAACAGAATGGGTACCTCAACATTCCTTTAACAGAATTTATTTAATTTCCCTTTCTTTTTAAACTAAACTGAAAAGTCAGAACCATTTTCACATGACTTACGCACAGGATTAGAGCGTTTAAAGCACTAATCTTTGACACCGGTGCTAATGGATTAACTGATATCTCAAGATACAAGGCGGCTGTGGGGAGAGGGATCTAACGGTGGGGGTCTACTACAGACCCCCCAACCAAGGGGAGGAGCTGGACCGGGAATTCTTGGGCCAGCTGGCAGAGGCACTTAAGGCAAGGGATGTAGTTGTCATGGGCTATTTAAATTATCCAGACATCTGCTGGGAGGAACAGTCAGCCAGGTTGGACCGTTCAAGGAAGTTCCTGGCCAAGATACAGGACCTCCACTTAATTCAGGAGGTGCACAGTCCCACCAGAGGAAATGCCCTGTTGGACCGGGTCCTGGCCACAGGCGACAACCAGGTAAGGGGCCTCCAGGTCCTTCACCACCTGGGTGATAGCGATCATCACTTGCTAGAATTCACCATCCAGTGCAGGGTGTCAAGGGCCTCCAGCAAGGCGGTAGCCCTAGACTTCAAGAGGGCCAACTTCAACGAGTTGAGATTAGTGGGAGAGGCGCTGGGGTTCTCTGGAGCAGGGGAGCTCAGTGCCCAAGATGAGTGGTCGTTCCTTAAGGAGACGATACTCAGGGCCCAAGGGGTGACCATCCCAACAAAAAGCAAGGGGGCAGGAGTGCCTGAAAGCCCCCCTGTCTCACCAAGGGTGTACGGGAATGCCTGATTGCCAAAAAGACGGCGTACAACCGGTGGAAAGGGGGGGTGCTATCTCCAA